TTAAAGCTGAGTTCAAGTGATGAAGAAACAATTGTTGTTAATTAATAAAGAACACATTAAAGAACTTTTATAGATTATTGTGATGTTATGTTTAAAGTTCAACAAGAACTGTTTTTTGTTGTTAAATAAAACCCTGTTAGTCCTGTGATGTTTTAGTCACACTTTTATACTTTTTAGTAAATATATCAGATTAAATGTTTGTTAACCTACCTGGAGGATTATTATATCTTCTGTTTGTTTGTTGGGACTCAGGGACCGTCTTCGGACCACCACCAACGTCCTGGGGGACTCCATCGGGGCCGGCATCGTGGAGTTCTTGTCCCGACACGAGCTCCGCAGCAAAGACGTGGAGATGGGAAACTCTGTCCTGGAGGAGAAGGAGCGCAAGAAACCGTACAAGCTCATCTGTCAGGACAGCGATGTGGAGAACGACAGGCGTCCTCACAGAGAGTCCAACATGTAGCCGAACTTCAGCTGTTCTGTAAGGTTTCAGSTGTTTCACAGTGTTGTGTTTGAGTCGTAGCTGCAGAGCTCCAGTTTTTATTAGTTTTATTTATTTACGGTTTTTTAAACTCTGATGTGTAAAAACTGAATCTGGTTTTATTTGAATGAGTTTGTGAGAAATGATTGGATCCTGACAGCTGGACTTCCTGTTCTCACAGCAGGTTTGAGCCTCAGGAGGGAGGGCAGGGAGTGATGTGCATGTGAGTTCTGTTGTTTCTGAAACCTCTCGGATTCAGACTTTAGTTTTAAACTTTATGTTTTTGTCCTGTTTTACTAAGTGAATATAAAACCTTGTTAAAGTTTGTGTTTGTGGAATGAATAAAGCTCTGAAGATAAACCATGACTCATCGTTTTTCAAACCTTCAGTTCACGTCTGCTTCTTCCAGGAGAAATAAGACAAACATCTAAAAGAAGATRATTTCTGAGTTTGACCTGTGGGTAAAGGTTCTGTAACGTGACTTCTCTTTATTTACCTGTTAGGATGAAGAGCTGAGTGGATGTGAACACAGTTTATCTGTTGGTTCTGCTCATCCTGTAAAATAACTTTAATAAGCAGAAATCATTTCAGTTACTGAAGTTAAATAAAAACAACAACATTATAAAAACTAAAAACATGTTCAGTCGGTTCAAATAGAACCCAGAGAGTTCAGCTGGCTGGCTGCACTTCATCTCTTCTTACAATTACAAAAGGAGTACCACAGGGCTCCGTTTTTGGTCCATTTTTTTTTATTTACATAAATAACTTGGGTGAAAATTTGTCAAACACTTTTGATCATTTCTATGCAAATGACTTAGAAATTTACTGCTGTTCTTCACTTTCACAGGACATGGAGTTTTTACGATCTGTTTTCAATACACACCAACTGGTTTACATCCTCTGAAGTTGGTTCTGAATGAGGATAAGACAAAAGCAAAGGTTTTCTCACACTCCTGAAAAATATCAGAGACCCCCTACTGCTGACCACTGCTCTGGTACACAGAGTTTGTCACAAAATATACATACCTTAGTTTAACTTTAGATAAAGAGCTTTCATTTAAAAACTGGGATTATTTCAAGCGGTTCTGAATAACAACATGATTCTCTCAATCAGTGTCATTGCTTTTCAGCTGTTCTGTAATTAGTTTTGACTTGTGTAAGATTTGTTTTATTTTGTCTCACTGGGGTTTTATCTGGTTAAATAACAGCTGTAACAAACTGAGTGCAGCTGCAGATGATTTATCCTTCAGATGAACTAAATAAAACATTGGTCTACATTTAGAAATGCTTTTATCTGCTTAATTTAAAGATAATTACCAGCTTTTTGAAAAATAAATAAAATGATTTTATAGAAAGAGTTGAAGAGGATCAGCAGCTGAAACCACAAGGAATTCACCAAACTGCACAGCTTAAAGACCAGAACCAGGATTAGTTCCAATCTGAACCAAAAACTGTAACTTTTCTGTTTTCATTTTGAGTCAACCAACAGAAGCTGATTGTTCAGAAAAATGTGTGAAAATCTTCATTTCCTRACAAATTTAAAGGCTTTTCTAAATGAAAATCTCTGATGATAAAAACTGCTTTTTAAATTCAATCTATAATTTTAACGCTTATTTTCAGCGCTTATTTCATTCAACCAAAACTGTAAAACTTTGATCAACAACAAAAATCATCAAATAAAGCTTTGTATAAAACAAGAAAATAAAAACATATTAACTGACAACAGTTCAGGACGGAGGGTCGGTCAGACGGACGGATGGATGGTTGGCTGGATGGATGGATGGTTGGATGGATGAATGGATGGATGGATGGTTGGATGGATGAATGGATGACGGATGGATGGATGGATGGTTGGATGGATGAATGGATGACGGATGGATGG